TATATATATATACATACATACATACACACACACACACTGGTAAGATGCCCTATTAAAATCTTTAGAATAGAATGAATTACCTGCATTCATATTCATTTCAGTTTTTGTTAGATTTTTGTTTTGTTTTAAAGAAAATACATCAAACTCAAATTTGTGTGATTATGGTTGAATACATTTTAATTGTATTTTCTTAACTAGGCAATATAAAATGTATAAAAATAAGTTAATTTGCTTTCTGTTTATTTTTGCTAAATGTATGTCAACATAACATATATATTTATACAATTCCTTTTTCACATCAACTGTCAAACAAAATTCTAAGAACACTTTATGTAGTAAACACCGGATGCACTAATCCTGAAGTTCACATAGCATTATATTTGGTACGCACATTTTGCTACTTTCTTGTTAAAACTATATAGAAGGCTGTCATCCCAATTATATGACCAAAACGCACGCGCACACCCCTCTAACTTATATTAAGCTGTTTCCAGTAATGCTACAGCATGCAAAGACATTTTAGACAATTGTGCCCTTCCAATGTTGTGGAAAAAGAGCTGGTCTCTACAATTGCAGCTATTTGGTGTGGCTTTTGGAGAACCCGCTGAACTGAAAGCTTCATCGAAGGTGCATTCTACCCCGTTCTGGTAAAAAATTACCCATTTCCAGGTCTAGGGCTGCTGGCATTGCCTCAGCGTTTGCCCTGTCTCTGAAAACTCACTCCATGAGTAGGCTGGTCAGGCAGAGCACTAGGAGCCATCTGATTTGCATAGGTCGCTGGGCGCCTTTTAATTCCCCATTTCCTATTGGTTTTTGCCGTAGGGGTCAATGATGTACCTACCGGACAAGAAAGTGTACCTACCGGACAAGGACTTTTCTGTCTCACCCCGAATGTTCACCAGGGTGGTTGTCTAGCGTTAGTCCTATTGCATTCTCATGGAATTCCCATTGTGTAATACTTATGTGACCTTCTGTAGAAGAAACAGTTGGCACAAGGACTGCTAGACAACATCTCTTTAAATGTGCATCTGTCTCAGCAATTTGATTATCTCCTAAATCTTCAGAGATCACAGCTGTAAATAACTCATCACGTGCATGCAGCTCAGACCAGAATGTTTTTTTGTGCAGTTTATCCGATCTCATTTTCTTGTCCTTTAGTCTGGTAGTTGCTTGCCTCTCAGTTGTCACATAAGAGTCACGTGTCTGTAGGTAACCGTCTTCAAGGCAGCCCCTATTGTCCAGTATCACCCCAGACCATCTCAGCACTATACTCTCTTGTCATGGGACAAGTTGGGTGAGCTTCTGAACAGACCAATTTGTCTACCTCTTAGGATGAGGTAGAACCTGGTCTGATGGATCAGACTTCCAGCTCTGGAGTCGGGGAAAGTCCTTCCTTATCTAGGATGGGGAAGAGGCATGTGCACCCTTGTCCCCCGCATCTCGAAGTTTCAGGAGATGTGATTGTATTTACATCAATTAATCAACTTTGTCTGGTAACCCAATCTGGATCCAATTAAACAACACCGCAGCACTGACCTTAACCATTTAGGAAGAACTGGAGATCTTTCTGCAATGAGAGTTAGTTTGGATCCTTCCTTGGACAGAACGTCACATTCTAGTATTGTTTGCTATATTCATCTAAGGTGCGTACAATTGGTGGACAGGCTTCCGCTACCGCTTAAATATGGGCATAGGGGAGAGATCCACAACCCAAGCGCATTCCAGTGCCTGTACTGCAGGCAGAGGGCACCAGATGTTGACCCTCTAATATCCTGGTTCAACTGGATGCTGAATGGATTTGTCTGCAGGTGCAGGAATCTTCTAGCAATAGCAGATGTTCTGTTGACGTTGTGGGATCTATAGACCCAGATCTATCATCCTCCGATGCTCATCCCTCCTCTGCTTTAGACTCGAGATGTAGGGCTTTCTGGCAACCTTCCTTGATACAGATTTACCTAAGCAAATGTACTTTGCTGACCTGGTTGCTGATGACTCTCCAAATTCCACGATCTGTTAGAGCCCACAGGAGTCACTTTAATTTATGTTCATAATTTCAAACCCTTATTATAAACAGAATATGGAAGGAAGGAATCACTCCATATGGCAAATATTTTTTTAGTTTAGTTAAGTATAAAAAGAGTACAGTAGTAGTAGTTTTTCCCAGAAAGTTAGCATTAACATGTGGCAAATAATACTGTTTATGAATGAACACCTAGAGCTATATATCCAGGGTAATGGATCTGCTGCACTGCAGGCACCCAAGGGTGACTGCATTTACCTTCCCTTAGCTCCTCTTTTGTCAGAGCACCCAGAGACTATTGTGTAAGTTTCTGTAAAACGCACACAGGGCTCAGCAAGCTCCTCCACACTCTTATGATTCACACAAAAGACATCAAAAGGCACATGCAGCAATGATCAGTTTAGCCCAAAAATAAGGCAGCATTTTTTATGGTGGGCTCCAGTGGAAAATTGCTATACATTGGTACTGATGTACAACCTGCACTCGAGATTTGTACATGTACATGGCTGTATGCAAGTAGCACTGTATACGGCCATTGATTTCTATGGGAGGAGGTATGCAGCATCTGTGTGCTCCCTGGTGGGGAAATAATTTCGATCTTATGCTGTATGGCCACAAGCAGCCGTGTGTAATAGCCCTTGAATGAAACTCTCTCTCACCTCCAGTGCTAAATATTACAGCATTGCAGGCACGGGGGTTACATATACACAGTAAAACTGATGCATAGAGTTTGCTAAATGAGATTTGCATCTAATTATGTGGTTAATTTGTATCACTTTTTTTGGGAATTCAAAAATAATAGACTGAATTTAGAAAAATAAATAACATGAAATTTAATAGTTTTTAGAACACAAGAATGATTTAACATAAAATCAGCCAACGTCTCTGAATCTATATACAAACATCCACTTATTCTCCATCTGCCGCGGTGTCTTCATAGAAAGTGAGGTTTGCCAGCATCTCTTCATCATCCTCGGCACCTCCATCCACGGATGCCCAGGTAAAATCATTGACCTGTTAAGGGAATACAGGAATTTATGATAGAAATATGACACAAATGTAGAATCTGGAACACAGGAAATGTATGCCATGCTTTTCATTTTAATGGTGTTTATTTTGGTTTTCCTTTTATGAAATAAATAAAAATAATGGAGTAACCAAAATATAAAACATAGTAACATACAACACTACAACTAAAGTATAACATCATTCACAAACAGAAACATTTACACCTTCCTATATTTATACTTCTCGGCCCCCAGAAACAAGAAGAGGATACACATAAAAATGATATCTATGCATATATAACAAAAAAGTTAGTTATTACAGATAATGTTCATTGCCTACTGCAATGCCAAACGTACACACAGCTAATTTTAAACTCAACGAAAGGTCAGTGTAAAAACAACCAAAATATATGTTTAAATAACTGTGTTTATTGCATTTCTATTAGGGGTGTGGAAATTAATGATTAATCCGTCGATTAATCGTTAATTTCTTTATCGGTCCAGGCAGTCAGCTGACCTAGTTTTGCGCCCTTTTGTTGTTCTAACAAGACTAGTTAGACCCCACAGAGCCCTGCTACCCTGGTGAGGCCCGCTCAAAGCTCTGGTGAGACCCCCTCTGTATGTGCGTTATAATTAATCGAAATTAGTCGATTAATCGATTTTAAAAAATTTGATTAATCGAACAGGAACATTTTAATCATTACCAGCCCTAATTTCTATCTCTTATACCTGAATAAACCCCTGCAACTCTTCTTCTGTAAGACAGTCTACAGCATCATCTTCATCAGGAACATACTCCACTGCAACTTTCCCATTGTCTGCAAGCCAAGTGCAAAGATCCATGTTAACACAAATTTCTATTCTAGCTTAAGGTGACTGTCTGAGAAGTCTAAAAGTGAGTCCTGTGAAATCAAGATGTGGCTGCAAATTATTTAGTACAACCTGTGTAACCTTGGGAACCACATTTGTACTTCGTCATTAAGTGGCGACCATGTGAACCATGGATTTAGTAAATGCCAAAAAATGTAACTGTGATGTTACATTAATACAGATGACAGCTCACTGGTCAAAACAACAATACTTTCTAATAGTAACCTGCACATGAACTGACCCTGGATAATATTGGCTAAATACATTAAGAAAGCAAACAAACAAAAATCTGTTCTCCAGGGTTCTATCTCCTTAGCCTAATAGAGGGCCTATTGCGATGCTTCTTGATTGCCGCTAGGGCAGTGATACCGGGGCACTGGAAGTCGAGTACTCCTCCTTCCACTTGCGAGTGGGTAACCGAGCGACAATCTGTCATATGGAAGAACTTACTGTGGAACTTTATCAACGCAATAAAAAATGTTATGTTACTTGGAGCCTCTGGTTACACTTCTGTACTACTGATCGATTTTGTAGTCTTTTCACCGCTTGACCCTATGTCTTTGTACTCAGGGTCTCTTTTGGGGGGCCCAGGGCTGGCGATCGCATCCTCTTTTTTTCTCATTTCTTTCTTTCTTTTTCTCATTTCTTTTTCTATTGGTGGGCCGTTTCCTTTTCATACATTTATTTGGGTATTGCTCAGACAAGTTAATTACGGTCACTTGTAGTTATTCGTTTGGACTGTTGTGTCCAATTACATTGCACTGTCCATTGCCTTTGCCTTAACCAGTGCTTTGTCCATATACTATTGACCTGTGTTTTGTATTCTCATTTGTACAATGTACCCTGGAGATACGCCAGTTTTGGCCCTTCTTTGTGTGTATCGATTTTAAACAAAAAATGTTTCTTAATAAACAATCTTTAAAAAAGAAAACAAAAAATGTAAACAGTCTATATACATATATATATATATATCTATAATTATATAATGTGAGGATTTAGATTCCCACCTGCTTCTTCCTAGATGCTAAAATTGTTCAGCAGCAGCATAAATAGGAGGATGTGGACATTAGCCAATAGGTTAGATCAGGGGTGCCCATTAGGTCGATCGAAGAGCTAGCAGCTGTTACAGTAGCATGGCCGAGCTGGGAGGAGAGAGCCGCTCGGCCAGGATCTGACAGCCGGCGGCTCTCTCTCTCTCTCTCCTCACCGCTCGGCCAGGATCTTCAATGCACCGCCACACCACACCCCCTCCTGCCCCTGAATGCAGGTGTTTTTTCGTTGGTAGATCTCATTGAGCTCGTCATTTGAAAAGTAGATCTCCAGACGAAAAATTGCGGGCACCCCTGGGTTAGATCATGCTGTTAACTGCTAAATTCACTTACCTGTTGTTAATTTTCTCCCTTGATGTGCTCAGCTATCTGATCAGTACTGTCCATCCATAACCGTAGTATTAGATTTTTGAGTGAACTCAAAAAAGGGATCTTTCACACAGTAAGAATAGTACAAAAAAGAACCAGTCTTACCAAAAACTACTAATAAAATCTTCTTAAAAGCATTGGAGAGAGCCTTTTGAACAGCATATTTCTGAACTTTTCCATTTTTCGAAAGGAATTCTGTTGGGTCTGAAAAAAAGTAAAGGTATAAACAAAAGGATTTCAGCAAAAGCTAACATTACCTGAAGTGGAAGAGTTTTAATACATGGCAAAGGCTGACATTTTTGGGCCGTAAGTGATTATTGAACTGGAAATTTCTTTATAGGGAGACTATTAAATTTCATAACTATAGCCAATCCGTACAATTTAAAGTGGACCAGAACTCTATTTAGTTCCAGTTCAATCAACTAGCTAAGTCTCAAGTAGGCATGCTAGGAGCATGGTAGTATGAACTTAGCAATAAGCTGGCATAGGTTACTAGTTCTAGATCATGAGACCTGGCGGCAGCTTTGCACTGTGGGCGCTGAGATAAGCAGACTCTGCCGATGTCTGTGTGTCAGTAAACTGCGACATAAGGTCATGAAACTGGAAACCAGAGAACCACTGGCCCTGGTTTTTTTTAAGCTGATAGGTATGATTTCACTTAATTTAATGGTCCCCACCATCCCTGACTAATCTGTGAAACTTAACCTTGTGCACTACTTGAATTGTGGCTGCAGTGAAATGACTGTTCCAATCTCATTCAAAGTGATATCAATGATTATGAACACTGATTTTTTTTTAGATATAAAGGAGTCTATTTATAAATGTTTTCATCCAAGATGCACACAATGTTCACCCAGGATTCACACATTTTTTTCCATCTGAAAAATGTGTGAGATTACAAAACAAACATTATGATGTGTACATTCTCCTCTTTGCTTCGCTACTTATTGAGCCACTGCCCGGGAACAAGTATGTAGATCAGGAGTTGTGACCGCAAAGGCTGGGTACTTGTTTCAGATAAGCGTTTCACGAAGAAGCGAAGAATGAGGAGGGGGGGGGGGGACGAATATGTCATTTAGTAGATTAGTGACACGCAAGGACACTGAGGGGGAGAGTTGTGGAGTGGAAAGATAAATTTGAGTGTCATCTGCATAGAGATGGTATTGGAAGCCATGTGAGGTTATTAGTTGACCAAGGGAGGAGGTGTAGATGGAGAAGAGGAGGGGTCCAAGGACAGAGCCTTGGGGGACCCCTACAGAAAGAGGAAGAGGAGGGGAGGAGTTAGAACTGTAGGTGACACTGAAGGAGCGCGTAGATAAGTAGGATGAGAACCATGAAAGAGCAGAGTCTTGTAGGCCAAGCGAGTGGAGTTTTTTGAGGAGCAGCGGGTGGTCAACAGTGTCAAAAGCAGCAGAAAGGTCTAATAGCAAGAGTAAGGAATAGTGGCCGTTGTTTTTAGCTGTTATTAGGTCATTGGTGAGTTTTAGGAGGGCGATTTCCCCTCAATGACAATGACAGCTGCCACACTTTTGTCCTTACGGGGATTCTTTAAAGTGATATTAAAACTTCCGTTTCGTCATGTTTAGAAGGGGCATACTTCCCTGAATTTGCTACCCTTCTTCCCCCGCTGCGGGTGTCTCCATCAGCTAGGAGACACCCGTGCGTGTTCCTGGCTATACCCGCAAGTAGCTGTGTGCATCCAAAGACGCACACAGTGTGTGGAAAGCCACGCCCCTCCTCTCCTCCCAACAGATTGACTGACAGCAGAAGGAACCAATCACTCCTCTACCCTCAGTACCTTCCCTCCCGCAAGTTAAGAATGGAGGATATCTTCACGGACCCGGCGGCGGTGACAAGTGACAACAGGTAATAAGTGAGGGGGGGGACACAGGGGAACACAGAAAGGTACTGGGCATTTTTACCTTAATGCAGAGAATGCTTTTAGGTAAAAAACTTCCTGCCTGCCTTTTGTACTACTTTATGTTATTATAACAGAGATGCTAAAGAAAATTGAGAATAAGAAGTATTAAGCATTTTGGAAATACTGTGATCTGTGTGTGATTAGTTCATCTTACATCAGCTTCTCAAGAAATGGGAGTTGAAACTAAAAACAGACAAGTACCGTTCTGCTTCTCCATAGCCTCCTCGGCAACACCGACTCCTCTGCTGCGAATTTCACCGTCATGAATGGTCACCTCGACCACACACAAGTATCTTAACCTAGCCGGCTCCTGAGGACTCGCTTCTTCCTCTGCTTCAACATCCAGGCCTGAGATATTCTGAAGCTGAGAGGGACAAAACAAGGATTAAATCTGACAGTGATACATGATTTTGTTAGGAGGATCCACATGACAGATATTCCCAATAATTAATTCCGATAAGCTATTTCATGCTTTACGTAAAGTCTTTAAAATAAATTGCTGACAGTTATGTTTTTTTTTACAGAAGAGACTCGTCTCTTCTGTCATAATTCCTCTTCCCTGCACGTCAGCATTTGTGTGGACTGAGCCACGCATGCGCTGCTCAGTGCACAAGCTTGGGGAGGTCATTTGCGGAGCTGCAGTAACTCTCATGCGCATGTGAGGGAGTTGCATCATACCGGCCCCCACCAATCGCACAGAACTTGGAAAAATCCTGAGAGAAGATGGAAGCCCAATGGAAGAGAGCACATCGCAGTGCCGGAGGCGATCACCCACAAGGCAAGTCTGCCATAATGCTAGTATGCTGTACTGGGGGTCCCCTATTATGTGTTAGTGGTTTACTACCACTTAAGGCTGGATTCACATCAGCATCTGCTCTACAACGCACAGCCGCAGTGCGGTGGTGTGAACTGTGCCTATCCGTGATAAGGCAAATCGCCTTGTCTTGTGGCTGCACCGGCTGTTTTTTCTACTGCAGCCCCAACGCAAGACAAGACCCTTTGTTATTGCATTTAATGTTAATCTGCCCATAAACACTTCTTTGCTTTAGAGAGCTATATCAGTCAATATATCAAACAATTACTATCACACAGAAACAATGCATGTCTATATATTAGAACAATAGTAATAAATGGCAGAAACTCACAGCAATGACTCTTTTGCTCCACCCATTGAACCCCAAGTAGTAGTTAGCCAGCTCTTGGCATTTGTAGCCATAAAGCTCCAATGATTTGAACTGCAAACTCTTCTTTCTATTGCACACCTGCACCTGTGAAATAGAAGAAAACATACCCCATGTGTACACTACGAAAACAAGGTGGTCAGCAGACCATAGCAATATGCAAAGCCCTGTTAAGGCTTCCATGACCAGAGGTCTCAGATGTCTATATATCCACAACAAATTTAGCAGCCTCAGTAGCGTTGGGTAACTTGACAATTGCCTATGTAAATAGTTTTACTTTTTACTACTGTTTTTAAAGCATCACTAAAGTCATAAAACAAAAAAAGTAATATTTGCTTCAGCGTGCCATTTTAAGATCTCTCAACCCGTATCTTTAGATTTCTATGTCCATTGAGTCCCTATAAATACCTCTGGATAGATGCAGAGAAACGCATTCACATATATATCCTTTATACCCGTGTCCACGTATCATTCTGCCTGTCTAAAATCTCCCATTGTAGGCACGCATGCCTGTTTACATACAAGCGATCTGCCGGCTACAGAGCCGGCGGATCGCTTGTATAACGTGCTGCTGTGTGCGCCCCCTTCCGCTGGACCTGAGCTCTGCAGTGCCCGGTGCGAGCCCGGGACCAACATGGTGGTTCTCTGACAGGGGATCAGAGGGAGATCAGTACACGATCTCCCTCCGGCCCCCTCTCCACTGCCAGAATGCGGAAATTATGTATATTACATCACTTCCGCATTTTTGTGTCAGACGCTGGAGAGAAGCTGATGAAGCAGCTCTCTGCTTCATCAGCTTCTTCGGGGGGTACTAGGTGACATTAGGGTTCTTGGAGACCTCTGATGTCTCCATAAAGAGGACCTGTCACATATCTTTGTGATCACATAGGGGAGCAAACACACTCAACAATTCGTTACCAGCTTTACAGCAAGGTGCACATGGAAGGGCTTCAAACAGTAAAAAGTTTCCCAGCACACTCGCCAGCTAGCATGCAAAAAAAACCTGTCTAACTGCTAAGCTTAAAAGCAGGAGGTTTGGATACACGTCTTCTGCAGAATATGTGAAAGCCGCACAGCCACGTCAAGGCACCTCCATATAGTGCAGTCCTAACTCTAAACTACGAGAGTCTCCATCTTGGAGCACATGGGCACAGGGACACACAAGGGACCCAGCACATCACAACCCCCTCATACGTCACTGCACCAAATCAGTCAAGCAAAACAAATGGCAAACGCACTCATCAATTGGTTACCAGCTTTACAGAAAGGTGCACATGGAAGGGCTTCAAACAGTAAAAAGTTTCCCAACACACTCGCCAGCCAGCATGCAAAAAAAAACGTGCAAACATGTGTCGGGTGCACATATGTGCAAAAACGACGATTGCACCCATTACGCCACACATGTTACATATCCCCACAAACGTCGAAGTGAGAGCAATAATTCTAGGGCCATCAATCACTGATAACACTAAACTGATGAGCGGTAAAAGCTTTTAAAACATCGCCTACGGTCAATTTTGGGTATGGTATTTTGCAATTTCACGGGCGCACGCAATTTTAAGGCTTGACATGTTTGGTGTCCTTTTACCCGACATGACCCGATCTTTTATATTTTACCAAACAATTTGGGTAATAATTGTATAACATATTAAAAAAAACTTTTTTCCCCAAAATTTTCCTGAATATAGTAAAAAATAGAAAACCCCAGCGGTGACTAAATACCACCAAAAGAAAGCTCTATCTGTCCCCAAAAAATGGTATAAAATTCATTTCAGTAATTATTACGTCAGCGTTGCATGACGTAATAATTGTCAGTCAAAATACCGCAGCGCTGAATACTGAAAAATGGCCTGGACAGGAAGGGGGTGTAACACCCCGGTCAGCAAGTGTGTAAATAAACACCCTGCTTGGATTTCGAATTATAGGCTGCATACAGAAAAAACACTGCAGCAGCTGTCAATGAAAGCTGTTTACAGACCAACATGGTGATCACATGATCGGGAACTATGCTCAAATACACACATAGGCTCACCTAGGAAGCAAGTGCAAAAGTACACACTGATTGCGCAACACATATTCGGTATCCCCGAGCATGATGCAGTGACATGAATAGTTGGAGCGCCATGATTTGGGATTAATGCTAAACTAATGAGCTGTATACAGAAATAAACACTGCAGCAGCAGGTTATGAACAATTTTGTGCATTCTAGTGTTTTGCATTTCACAGGCACATGCAATATTAAGGCTTGACATATTTGGCATCTACTTCACACAGTCATGTTTAATATTTTACAAAAAGCCCTTCAACTTTTCTTTCGCAATCTGTGTCCTGCTGGGGCGATTTCCCTTCATTTCCTGTCCTATAGCACAACAAGAAAAGCATGGTGTTCTGCAGGGTCACCAGAACTAGTGTCCCCATTGGAAGATTTCCCATCTATTCCTGTTCTGGGGACAACACAAAATTTGGGATTTTCTTTCCCTTTCAGTGATGACGATCACCAGGACAAATAAAGAGGGTGAATCTTCCTAACAGAGACGCAGACAGTAATAGAAACCTCACCAGTGTTCTAATCTCTCTCTCCATCCAAAGCAAAAACGTTTTGGCTTCAGTTGCACTTTAAGCCGACCTCAATATAAACAGTCATTAGCTAACATATGTAATACTTACAGTTCCCGATTAACAGTGCTGTTTAGTGTTAAAAGCTTGATTCATCACAGTCTGTATGGAAAGCAGCTAACAACAAGACTAAAATGAACATGCCCATTAAAAGCTTTTGCTGTAATATTCACCTTCAATCCAGTGCTGTATCCCGCCAATAGATGTCCTCAGTCTAAGGTCCAACGTCATTCAACCCTCGACCTCTGAGCCTAGACTCAGCCATGAACCTGTACTGGATAGTGAAAGGAGAAGCAGCACAATGATAATCTCATGTCACTCTTCTTTCTCCTCCTATCAGCATGCTCCATGTCAGCACAGGCCCTGATTGGCTGCTTCTCCCTCACACACTCCATCCTTGCTATACAGGGACTGCAAGAGGCGGATACTCAAGCAAAGTAAATCCCCAAAGTAAAACACCTCTTATATTTAAAAAATACATTTAGACTGGGTTCACTGTGGTGCCACTCATTCTTAGACTTTTCACACATTTGTGCACGGATCCCCTCCTGATTGGAGGGGTACAGATCGGGTGTTACTGCTCTGACATCTGTGTCCATCTAGTTTTATCCTTCATCTTGCAATGAGGAGAAAACTGAAATGACCAGACCCCATGTCGGTCTAAGGGAAATCGCATGTAAACGGACTAGTGTCTGTATACATCAGATTACCCCCAATCCGGCACAATCGGGTCCAGTGAAACGGAACACACTGTTCCATTTGTTTTTCTGTACCTGGCTACAGCGGTCCGTTTAGATCCGGCTGCCCACTGACTAACATTGGGCATCCAATCAGATCAGTCTGAAAATCAGACCACCCGTGTGAAAGGGGCCATATTTAGGGATGCACCGATATATCGGCCGCAAATGGCACTTTTGGCTAAATGCCAAAAGTGCAATTTTCTGGCCGATACAGCGGTGCATCCGTTCTATTCTCTCCACCCTGCTGGGCGCTGCTCTGTGTCCCAGCGGGCAGGAGAGAAACTGTCATAGGCGGCCGAGCGGTGCGGGATGAGATCGCTGTGAGCGGCCAGCGTCTCTCCTCCCACAACGCTCAGCCTCATGTCACAAATCAAAGGAGAACGGTGTGGGCGGAGACAATCAGCACTGTCACAGCAGGCTAAGACCCGCTCGCTCAGCCTCCTGTGACAGCGTGTCAGAAAGGAGAGTAGATACAAGCTGTCAGTGATCAGTGATCGCTGAGTGTTAGTAACCATACCATGTCCTCAATTATGTACAATGTCCTCAATTATGAATGAATGGGAAGTGATACTCTGTCCTCATGTTATGAATGGACAGGAACACTCTGTATCGAGGCTTCCTGTTCATTCATAACAGGGGCTGCAAAAAAATAAAAAACATTTTCGGTTTCGGCCTGACATTTTTTTTTATTATTTCGGTTTAGTTTCTGAATTTTTCATTTCGATGCACCCCTAGCCATAATGCGTTGCAGTGTGCTGCCTTACAAAAATATATAATACATGCACATTTTTGGTTCATTAGGCAGCCTGTTCAAATGAATGGGCTGCCTTAGCTCAATGCACTTCAATACAAGACGTAAAGCACATGCGCTGAAATTCTGTCAACCTGATGTTTAAGTAGACTTAGCCACGCACATGCCTTGGAAAAGCTGTACAATTCAGATATCTGACATGGCTACCATGCTTCCAGATCACATGGTTAACCACTTGCCATCCGGGGCATTTTCCTACTATTTGCGCACACATGATAAAATATAAATTTTTGGCTAGAAAACAGCTTCAGACCCCCAACAATGATATATTTTCTGAAAGCAGAGGCCCTGCAGAATAAAAAAATGCTAGGTGCGATTTTTTACGTCGCCCGGTTTTTGCGCAAATGTTTATCAAACCCGTATTTTTAGGAAAAAATAAACTAAATTAAAATGTAGTGCACAGAAACATAATATAATACCCAATTTTTTGGTAAAAGATAAAAGATGGGGTCACGTCGGGTAAATAGATACCAAACATGTCAGGCCTTAAAATTGTGTTCGCCCGTGAAGCCGCAAAAAAAGTAAATACCCCAAATTTTCCATAGGGAACATTTCAAACGCAATTACCGCTCATCAGTTTAGTGCTAACAGTCAATGACAGTGCTAGAAATATTGCTCTCGCTCCGACGTTCGCGGCGATATGTCACATGTGTAGCGCAATTGTTGTTTTCGCACGTAGGCGCACCGATGCGTGTATGCATGTCTATGTGCGTGTACGTGGGGGGCGGGGGTCTTAAAAAAAAATTTTTTTGCATTTTATTTTTCTTATGTTACTTTCATTTTTAAAAGTTTTGAACACTTTATTTTCATTTTATTTCTACTAACCCTATTGCTATTACATAGAGAGCTAACAAGCACCCTATGTAATAGCAGATAGGGTGTGACAGGTCCTCTTTATGGAGATATCAGGGGTCTTGCAGACCCCTAATGTCACCTAGGGACCCCAAAGAAGCTGAGGAAGCAGAGACCGTTTTCCCCAGCTTCATCTCCTGGCTCTAAGAGCCGGAGACTGTGTACAATGACACCGGAAGTGATGTAATACAAGTGATCGAAGGAGAGATCAGCGGGATCACTTCGGGGAAACCCGCCAAGCCGCTCCCAGGCGCCGCACGGGGACAGCGGTGCCCAGGGAAGACACCGGCGGGGGGGAGAGCCGCCGCACGGTACAAACGATCCGGCGCCTGTACAGACGCCGCATCGCTTGTAAATTAACAGCATTTGCCTGCTGTTAAAAGCGATACCAAGAACACGGCTGCTGCAGCAACCATGTTCTTGTTTTAACCACTTCAAAGGGCCGCCGTCTATAGACGTATTGCGGCCCGGAAGTGGTTAAAGAAAACAAATCTGCTCAAAGATCTCACAACCATGTAGTATATCCGAAATAATATTGATCGGTTGATCAGGATGGTTTCAACAACTGGCAAATCTAAATCATCCAAGCTTGGCAGATAATCAGACCTGTTATGGACACAACTTAAAATCGGAATGCTCTTCTATTTTGAAATGAGAGATAAAACTAAACCCACATTCCTGTCACATATATTTTGCTCACTGATGTGCAAACTCGACATAAATAGATCAAATATTTACCTTCAGAGGAGAGTCCTGAAACAAAGACTTCCTGTCACACGCTGCATGAGCTTTCTTGGCACTCCCCGATGTGAAATATCTAACAACTGCATAATAACCGGGGTCAGCAACACCAGCATTCGGGAAAAGCTTCAAAGAGTACAGAGGCCCAAACGGAGAGAACGCCTTCATCAAGGACCACTGTTGATACACAAAAGAGTGTGAGAACACATCATCACCGTAACATGAATACAGAGGAAACAATATACAAGTAGAGTTTCATGCCTACTTACCAGCCCTTAAAGTTTATTTCCACTTATGCAGTCAAAAATGACAACTCCTCTATATTGTTTGTTATGTGTTCCTATTCACACAGCATACCAAAAAGTAATACCCTACCTTTTAGATATTTTGTTGCAGCCGCCAACATGGCTGATTTCAGGTTTTTCTGAGCACCTTCAAATACTTAGGACTGAAATTTGAGGATTGTGCCTCTCATTAACATACAATGGAGAAGCCAGGGTTGTAATCCTTAACCCCCTCACACTTCATAACCCCTCCTAACATTACAGAGAAGCAAGTGGAAACTTTAACCCTTAATAAGCCAAGAAACTCTAACCCAAGTAAAAACAATTTAAACTGCATGAAGCGTTTATGCTTTTTATTAGCTTATGGAATGTGAACATAAAAAAGCGGAAATACACTTTAAGGGATAACTTTACGGTCATAAAGTTACCCTTTAAATCGCTCCATCTAAAAGGTATATTAACCTGTCCATGATATCCACGCTGCCTGAATGCAGTTGCTGGAAATTCTCCTGGACTGTCCCATAGTTTTCTGCGAATGCGCAAACAAATTCCGCTCATTTCTAAAGCAACAGTGTCTATCCCTGCTAAAAGACCGCTTCTCCACAGGAATAAATGCTATTTCATCCATGTATGTGCAGAAAACTTTGGGACTGGTCAGGAGAGTCTCCGGCGGTGACTGGCCCGCACTGCAAGGGTTAAGCGCTCCTGCGTTTGGAGGCTTGCTGACATCATCACATACAATGCGCGGCCACAGGCCTGCATTATGTGTGAGGATGCCGAAAGAGTCCAGAAATCAGAGTGTAGGAGAGAGAGGTGAGCACTGGCAACCAAAAGTCTTTTACACAGATATCCCAGACATGAACAAGCAATTAACCCTTGCAGTGGGGCTTTTTAATTTCCCTCTATATACTGAGCTTTGGGTCACAGGAGGAGGTTAGTTAGTAT